AATTTTCATTCTTAATCCGACAAGATATTTGCTTCTATATTTGATTTCTTTCTCTCTCTCTCTCTCTCTCTCTCTCTCTCTCTCTCTATCTATCTATCTATCTATCTTTTATTTGCATGGAATTGTTTTTTTTATTTATAATTATAGCTATCAGAGAAACAAGAAATAGGAAGGGAGTTCCACAGGCGAGAAGTGCGAGACATGAAGCTATTGGAGTAGAAGCGACGGCTATATTTAACAGTTTCGACAGTGAAAGGGTGAGGGCGAGATGCCAGCCTAATTGAACGCTTGAATTCATGAAGTCTGGGAACCAGCGAAAGCAGCTCATCGGTGCAGTTACCATGAAAGTATTTGTAAAAAAGACAGAAGGAGGCGACGGCACGTCTGTGGGAGAGCGACTGCAGACGAGATGCCAGATCAGGGCCATTTACGTTGCATATCCGTCTCTGTATCTTATCAAGAACCTTGGGCCAAACAGAAGGGGCTCCAGACCATATATGGCAGCAATACTCCATGCAAGAGCGAATGGTTGATTTGTAGATTTGAAGAATCGACTCCGGCGAGAAAAATTTTTACAACAAAAAATTAACAATAAAAAATAATCATGTACAATGATTAATTTATTCTTGGATCGATGCCATATATGCCAAAATGGGCCTTAAAAAGCACTACAAAGGTAAATGTCTTTTATCCGTTCACTGGTTTGGACAAACGACTGGCACAGACCATAATGACGAGATAGTTAGTTAGAACTGAACTCTTTTCAACGGCGAATCGGTCGACGGAAAAATCATTATTTTTCACTAATTTATATAATTTATACTAAAAAATTGAATATATATATTATATATCGGACACACAAAAATATATATATATATATATATATATATATATATATATATATATATATATATATATATATATATATAGATAACTAGACTCGTTTCGAAAACCCTCGAATTTTTGATTTGCTAATCAAATCAATCTCGAGGGAAAAAAAGGTTTTAAAAAAAGAAAGAGCTACAAACATGGACTTCTGCCGACAAAAAAATCGCACAGATGCAGGTCTGAAGCCCAAAGAAAAAACCCCGATACGAGTAACAACTAACTAACAAAAGAGCTCAATACAACCGTAGAGCAGACCTAGATACACCTAGTGAGCCAGACAAACCTACCTAGGTTTCACCTAAACGGATCGCCAGGGAAAGTTTGCCAAACTTTCCCTGACGATCCGTTTAGGTGAAACCTAGGTAGGTTTGTTCATCACTAGGTGTATCTATATAATTATATATATATTATATATCGCATATATATATATATATATATATATATATATATATATATATATATATATATATATATGTGTATGTATGTCTAATTTCAGACAGAACTAAAATATGTATCTGTAAAAGGACAATATGAATAAAGACAAAAGGAAAAATTATCTTTACCAACGCGTTTTGTCCTCTGACTGACTGTATTAAGGATTTTATTTTGCCACAAGATTTTATGAACAGAATCAAAAATGCTGCTTTTTTTTAATTTAAGAGACGCTTATGAATATTCATGAGGTTAACTGAAACGTCTGGGTAAATTATAGAGGAAGTTTTATGTAATTAATATATAAATTGTTTTGGTTTGGGATTAATTTATGTATTATATAATTGAAACAACACGAGGTTAGGAATTTTCTTTTATTTTTTTTAAGATTTGTACAATCACGTATGATAATGACTGACTTTTAAAAAAAGTTGTTAACATTTTATGTTGTTTGCTTTAAATGTCCGAGTCGAGAGATAGAAATGAAAATATTTTTTTTTTATCTATGCGTTTTCTGTGTTGATAGTATGTTATAAATTTGGCCATAGGATCCCGACAGAGTTATACATTAATGACAATTAGAAAAAAATGAAAGTATAATCTTTCGAAAAAACATCCGACAACTGATTTCGTCAATTAGGCTTCATCAGATCATTTTACTTTCTTTCTTCTTTTTTTTTTTTGTCACGAGCAACACCAGCTTTGGAAAATATAATAAGATTTTCATATTTTTAAACATACACAAATACACACACACACAAATCCTTTTTTCGCCTTCGATCTGATGAAGCACATTCAGCGAAATGCATAGTCGGATATTTTTTCAAAACTTCATGAAGGTTTTTCTAGCTGTCAATAATATATATATATATATATATATATATATATATATATATATATATATATATATATCGAAAATGGTTAAATGTATTGTCGAAAGCACTCGGAAAAATATTACATTTGGATAGTTTCTGTATAATTTATATACTGAAAAGAAAAAAAAAAATTATAAGATCATATGAGAAATTATATAAAAAACAATCAAAGGACCTTGTCTGGCATACTTAATAAAGCTTGCATGGAAAAAGGATTGCTGCATAAATACACAATATATATATATATATATATATATATATATATATATATATATATATATATATATATATATATGCATGTGTGCGTGTGTGTCTGTGTGTGTGCGTGTGTGTCTGTGTGTGTGCGTGTATGCGGGTAGTATAATGTATTTTCTTTAAGAATATTCTGAAGCCATAATGTCTACACATGAATCAGTTTTCTGTATTGCTTTCAAATTGACCCATACTACTAGTATGTTACTACTAATAAAAATAATAAAATGGATACTTTGTCATATCACAATATCTAGAAGGTAATGTATAAAAGCAGTTTAAAATCTTTCCGTAATTAAGGCCTAAATTTTGTTTTATTCGGCTCGCTGTGTTTATTGGCATATACAAACCTTTCCCCAATTAAACAGAGAATTTAAAAAAGAAATGAGTTGGATGGTCGATAGAATGTTAAAAGAACTTCAGTCATGTCCCCTATTTTGTTCAGTTCTAAATATATTCCGTTTTGTGCATTTATTAATTATTTATTACTTACCTGCTAGTAATAACAGCCATAATATTTGCAGCCCATATCTAACTATCATTGTCTTGGCGGTGGAGTTTTAAATTCCTAGATTTCTTCTTCTAAACTGGTTGCCAAGCACACCTATAGAGCCCAATCAGACTTTTTATTTAACTGATAGCTGATGGAGAGGAGAGAAGAGATGAATTTATACCTTTCCCTACCTTATACCTTTTGGGGGCGAAAATCTTTGATTACCAGATTTTTATTTCGGAGACCTTTACTGTTGTTCATACACTGAGTAGTGAATTTGAGGACTTATTGCATGCAAACTTACAAAATTCGAATACTTGGCGGGAAAATAGTGAGATTCTTATACGGCGTTAAATACAATACGTGAAGATGTAAATATGTTTCTTTTCATAATTATAACTATCAAGTTCAAACGAAAACATCATTAATACGTATTTCATATATTCCCCTCGAAACATTCATTTTTCTTTTTGTCACTTTCTGCTATTGAACTTCACTTACCTTGCAAGCTATGACGTCATAAAGAAGCCGGCTTTATTCTGAAAGGTCATGGTCAGTTATGCATTAAAGACAGTAGCGTTACTGATGCTTACGTCACAGTCTTGTTGCCATGGTAATATATAAAAGCAACGAGTGTAGCAAGAAGGAAGAGCTTCTGTTGATGGTTTTTATTGCATCCATCTCTATTTCTAGTATCGATCCGAGGAGAGGAGCGTTGTCCTTCTCATTGACCAACTTTTTAAGCATCAGGATAAAGATAGCAGACAGGAAAACATTTAACAATACTGACACAACGGAAATAAATTGAAGAAGTAATTTCTTATGTATGAATGTAGTTATTTCAAACTAAACGCTCCTAGAAACATCTAATGACGAATCTAATGTCCTAAAAGCATCATCTAATGGCTGTTGTTACTAACAGGTAAGTAATAAATAATTAATAAATGCACGAAAAGGAATATATTTGGAACTGAACAAAATAGGGGGCATGATTGAAGTTCTTTTAACATTCTATCGGCCTTCCAAAACCTTTCCTTTTTAAATTCTCTGTTTAAATGAGGAAAGGTTTGTATATGCCAATAAAGACAGCGGGCTAAATAAAACAAAATTTAAGCCTTAATTTTAAACAGTGCTTTTATACACTACCTCCTAAAAATTACATAATTGTGGCACAAGGCCAAAAAAGGGGAGGGGTTAAGGCTGGTCCACACTAACTATCTTCTGCCCAGCTAAACCGATTCACAACCCATTCACTCATTACAATTTACCCATTCACCACAAGAACTCGTCCATCACTAATCAATAGATATTGTGATATTTTAAAGAAATAAAACATTGGTAGTATCCATTCTATTATTTTTATTAGTAGTAAAATGATACTAGTATGGGTCAATTTGAAAGCAATACAGAAAACTGATTCATGTGTAGACATTATGGCTTTGAGGATATTCTTAAAGTAAAATAACAAACTTTTAAACAGAAAAAAAAAGTATTTACTAATCTATATCTCGTCTGGTTGGAGGCTAAAACATGTCGGGTTTCCATTGGTTAATCTTCTTTGAAAAGCAGCATATGAAGTCTTTAGTAACCGAATACAGTGCTTGAACCCAAACCAAAAGAGAAGGCAAAAATTTAAATGCCGATTCTCTAAACAAGTAAACCCATCCCTTTAAAAAAAAACTGGCGCATCATAATCTTCCTATCTTCTATTTAACCATTAACCTAAGCTTAATAAATGTGTATGTGGTATTTGAATAAATATGTGTAATGTGTGTATCCGTTAGTCAGTAAGTGTTTGTCATTGTATGTGTATATATTGAGGCATTTTCGTGTGCGAATATACATTCATGCGTATGATAATTCGTGCGTGTGTGTGTGTGTGGTAGAAAGTGTGTGAATGAGTCGTTAAGATACTGTTTTTGTGGGTATCCGTTTCAAATAATGTATGTTCATGTGCAGTTTCCGATTATATATAAGTGTGTGTGCGTGTGTATCTCTGTGTGAATGTCTATGTAAATGTATGTATGCGCGGCGAGAATGCCAAACGTGGTGAGATCATTTTAGAAACACAAGCGTATATTTAGCGTGAACAATGGAATCGAAAATGAGGGGAAATAATGAAAGAAAGACTTTAACCTGGGGAGAAAGAAAGAGAAAAGGGAAAGATTAAATAACAAAAGAAAAGAAAAAAGAAAGAACGAGAAAAGGAAAAAGGAACGAATAAATAACAAAAGAAAGAAAGAAAGAAAGAAAGAAAGAAAGAAAGAAAGAAAGAAAGAAATAGAAAAGAAAATAGGAAAGATTAAATAAGAAAAGAAACAAAGAAAGAAGGAAAAGGGAAAACTTTAATAACAAAAGAAAAGAAAAAAGAAAGAACAAGAAAAAGAAAAGGGAAACATTAAATCAAAAAGAAAGAAAGAAAAGGAAAAATTAAAAACGAAAGAAAAGAAAAAAGAAAGAAAGAAAGAAAGAAAGGACGAGAAAAAGAAAAAGGAAATATTAAATAACGAAAGAACAGAAAAAGAAAAAGAAAGAAAGACAGAAGGAAAAAAGAAAGAACAAAGCCTGAAAAAAAAAGAAGACTGGAAAAACGAAATTACAAAAGAAGAAAGGACGAATACGGAAGGAAAAAAACAAACAGAAAACGAAAGATGAAAGAACGAAATAATTAAAAGGAAAAAAAACAGGATAGAATGGAAGAAAGAATAAAAGAAAAGAAAAGAAAAAGAATAAAAAGAAGAAGCGAGAACAGAAAGAAAAACCCAAAAGATAAAAGAACGGAAGAAGAAGAAAAAAGGAAACACGGGTGGGAAAGTGAACAAAAAGAAAAAAAAATGCTGAGCAAATGAACACAAATTTAGAAAGACAAAAAGAAAAAAAAAAAAGAATGTATTTTCTAAGGATTTTCTTTAAATCGTGTAGACAGCTGAGTGATAGACATTGTGACAGAAAGCAGATTCATCTTTACTGCAATCTGTCAAACACAACAGATTATAAAAAGATGTTCTCAACACAATCTTTGAAACATCCAGGTACTCAAAAATGGATCGACTGCGGAGAATAGTCTAAAATTCGTTTTATTGAATGTGATAGCCTCGAATTCAATATGAACGCGGTTTCAAATATATTTCCATATATCATGACACCCTTCTGATTTATCACTACTCAACGTGTTTATTTGCTGACATTGCTACGTCACTGTGTTTCCACAACTCTCTTGCATTGTTAGTTTTCGTTGCTTTTTCCGATTCACTTTGGGAAATATGCTAGGTGCTTCCATCGTCGGATAATGGCTCGAACAGGTTATTTATACCACTTTCACGCTAAGGCTCCATAAAGTGTCATGGTGGACAGTTCATCAGAACAATTACCACGGAAGCATTTATAGAAAAGACACAATGAAGTCGTTGGGGAATTGACTGAATCCGAGATGCAACATCAGGACCAATAATATTGCAGATAATTCTTTTACTAATAAAAGCATGTTATTAAATAATATTTTAAACCTTTAATAAAATATTATTAAAATATTGGTGTATTTTAAATAGCTGACTTAAAATATTTGCACATCTCTCTCTCTCTCTCTCTCTCTCTCTCTCTCTCTCGATATCTATATATATATATATATATATATATATATGTAGAGAGAGAGAGAGAGAGAGATCCTTTCAAACGTGTTTTTATTCACAAATCTCTAGTAGGTTGACTTGTCATTTGCTAAAATTTAGTGCAATTCACTGACATATCGATCAACATATCACGAATGAAAAAAGTTAATAAGCAATAAGATGGACAAAACTTTTCGATATTATCCAACCAAACATCTTTGAAATAATTCGGTTTGCCGAGATACACCATATATAGCCGAGTTCGAATTCCAGTCGAATCCATTACATTCACTTACTTGGGAAAGGTATGAATCCTCTTCATCTCCCTCCAGCTATGGGTAAAATAGCAGGACAGACTGGGTTCTATAGCCTTGGATGGCAACTGGTCTAGGAGAAGGACAACTCTGAATTCAAAACCTGCGGAGGGTCGTTTGGGAACCTTGTGGCATTCGGTGCACCAGGTTTCTGTATTCGTCCCTCCAAAAAGTGTGGCTGGTCCTGCACGAGGCCTTCACAACTATAATCAAATCTCATGTGCCGGTGTCGGGATGTCGGTTTCCTGGAGACTTATCGGCCTGACCTCATACGTCGAACGCGACGGGAGAGTCGATATATATATATATATATATATATATATATATATATATATATATATATATATATGCATTTATGTATGTATGTGTGCGTGTGTATAATACACCTCAAATATATATATATATATATATATATATATATATATATATATTCAGTTGCATGGATATTAGTTTGTAACCCTGGGTTTCACGCTTTTGTGATCATACAAACTGGTTTATTTTTCTAAGCATGAAACCCAGTTACAAACTAATATCCATGCAATTGAATGTGTTAGCTCCATCACAGATATTGAGCACTTTCCACTAAATACCGCCCATATATATATATATATATATATATATATATATATATATATATATATATGTGTGTGTGTGTGTGTGTGTGTGTGTGTGTGTGTGGAGAGAGAGAGGCATCAATACAGCATGGTTTCACACCTCAATGCGATCTTCACATCAAGTGCCACTATTCCATTTGTGAACTGTGTCTGTAGCAGGTTGTGTGTATCCTACGTTTAAATATTCATTTCTTTCGTCCATATAAATTTTATCTTTTGTCTATCTTATATATACAGCATCAAACTACAATGGTTTGCTTTATATCTAATTATAAAATTTTGCTAATCTAATAACCAAATATTTCACGTTGATGAATTAAGGAGACGTAGAAAACTTTATCTACAAGACAGAGGAGAAAATTGTCCCCAAAGACACCATATCATAACACTGCGTGTTCCTTCTTTCACCCGTACGTGACGCGCATTAAGTCAGATCAATAGTCAACCATTTATATGTATATATGGGTGGTTAGAATAATCTCTTTCTGGCCATTAAACCCGAAATTTCAGGTGGTCGATTTGTAAAGTGCCTGAAAACCATATCCTGAGACATGCCTTGTGTGTGAAGTCTTGAATAGACGGAAGGATTTTTGGGTAACGTCGGTTTGAGAGTATTAGCCTTGTCCAGACAATTAATCAAACTGGATCCTATAATCAATATCAATGAAGTTTATTTTGCTTGTGTTTCGGTTATTTGACAATGGAATCCTAAAAATTTCTCGGCCTAATCCACTGTACAAAATCTGAATGAACATTATATTTTTTTAAAATTCTTTACTGGTCAGGAGGAGATCTTTTGAGCATTCTCTTCTACAGAGAGAAAAAAATCAGTGTTAGAGAAACATGAATCCTGTAATAATTGTCACGAAATATACATAAAATCTAAATAAATGATTATATGAACATAAAAGGGACTTCTTACAAAATAATACATCAAATGCGTTGGTTACCCACCGTAACGAGACTGACCACTACTTAATAATGCTACTATAATAAAAGGAAAAAAAAGTAATTCATTGCGACGTAAATGCATCGAGAGTGACTTAATCGCAAGGTCATCTACAGTAAATTTGCTTTCTGGCTCTTAAAAAATTTCACCATTCCTGGCAGATCTTCTGATATGACTGTGTGGCATAGCGACTTACAGAAGTGATGGAAAGAAAAAGACAGAGACTATAAATTAAGGCTAGATAAAAAAAAAAAAAAAATTCTAAAATTCCCAGTACCCCTGTCGTCCGTATTTGTTGTCCTACCAATATAACAAATTTAATCCGTTGGATTCCGTAAGAACGAAACACGTCACAAGTATTTTTTTATTCCATTTTGTCATACAATTTTCCCATTGGTTCGTTGTGAAATAAAAGTGAGCAAACAAAATTACAATTACTACTGCAATCAGATCGATCCCTCACTGCGAGATAAATGCATCTGACCTTATGTTTACCAACTTAATAAACATTTATGAATGACTCTAAGTGGTAAAATCAATAGCGTATTAATGTAACAGATTCGTATTTTAGTGAATTCCATCATTATCTATACCATACTTATATTAGAAAATATACTAACTCAATATTAGAAAATATCCAACACTATATTCAATCTCAATGGTTTTCACACGATATAGCCTTGTATTAAACTAATCTAAATACAGATTAAACCAAAGATAATTATTAGATTATCCAGAAAATGCAATGGCTGCGTGGATAGAACGTTCGCTTTCTGACCAGGGGACACGGCTTCGACTCTAACCATGGTCGATTTGATAGGAAGGTAATTTCATGATGTTATCTGGGTGTATCACAGGGTGCAGCCATTTTGGAAAGTACCCGAAAGCCATACCACAGGGTGATCCAAGCCTTGTGAGTGAAAATGGGTAGACGAAACTTCTTGGAAGACGTGGGTGGTTATGCTGGCACAAAGTTGCAAGTCATCGTGATCGAGGGTTTGAGCGTGTTGACGTCAGACTATTGATCACGCTAGATAACGCTCTTTCTCCCCCAAACTAAGATCCGCTCAGCAAAGTGGCAGTATAACCCATAAGTGTGCTCTGTGGATGTTAAACAGATATAAATATGCTTCAGAGATTGCCTAGCCGCCCTAGTAGACGGCCATGCTTGAATACGAGTGGCCAGACTATATATCGAGTCTTATAATCTATATCTATATCTATCTAACATATATATATATATAGAGAGAGAGAGATAGATATATATATATATATATATATATATATATATATATATATATATATAGATAGATAGATAGATAGAACTCGTACCTTTCGTCTGACTGAAACATTGACATGGATAAATTCTCTATTAGTTTTTCGACTGTTTTATTTCTTTGTTTTTTTTTGTTTTTTTTTTTTTTTTTTAGCTTTTACAGTTAATTTTCTATCTCTGACACGAACTCAGTCCACACCGGGGTTCATAAGACAAACGACCGCTATCTTCATCTGCCGAAATAAGCTATTCCCTAAATCTGTTGATCTTAGATTTTATTGTTTATTAAATATTTGCTCTGTAATAATAAATACATTGATCTCTTTTTGTAGATCAGTTTTAATATTTTATATTACTAGGATCCACTTGGATTATATACCAACAGATTTATTACCTTTAATATATATATGTGTGTGTGTGTGTATATATATGTGTGTGTGTGTGCGCGCACGTGCGTTATCATCTTTAACCTTATTGTTTAATTGGTTGTTAAAATCGTACAAAGTATCGACTTAACGTTTATATTAATAATATATATGATACAGTAATGAATTAATATATATATATATATATATATATATGGGGGGTGAGTGTGTGTGTGTGGGGGGGGGTGTAGTAATATCTATAAGATACTTTAGTAATTAGTCTCCGAGGAATTGTTCTCTCGCCCGGTAAGAGAAGTTATGAGCGTTAAGTGTCACCGGATCGTCATCCAACGACTGTCAAACAAAAAATAGTTCTGGTGACATAGAATGTCAGAACACTAAATCAATGGAGTCAGTTAGAGAATATAAAACAAAAAAT